ATTAATCATATTTTTGAATGAGGGAAGATCTTTCCGCAGATCCTCCGAGCATGTGAAAGTGTTGTTGATAGAATCCCACCCAACTCCAGTATGGTCTTGCAACATTTTGAACGCTGCGTAGACCTTACTAAGTCGGCGGCGTTTCTCCTTAAGGCGCTCACCGGCTGGTACATAGCCATAAAAAAAAGTGGCCATCTGGATAGCCCATTGGTTGTAGTCACGAGATTCCAGTTGCTTCCCGTGGTTAGCACAATGGTACTTGTAGAGACGCTCAAATAGGAACCCCTCCGCATTGGCGCTCCAATACAACAGCCTCTCATCCGCGTTTTTCCTAGACATCTACAAACGCATATGACAACCAAAAGAAATAAATCTTATTTCTCTAGTTTATGTGTGTGTTTTGGAACTTTAACCTTACAGTCTATCTACGCTAACAAACAAAATGGCATAGGCACAACGGCAGAGAGCATCACACGTTTTCTCATGTTGATGAGTAAAACAGAAGTCAACCCAAATAGGGATAACTATATGGTAAAAACAAGAGAAATATGCAAGAGAAGAAAATGAATGAAAATATACAGTATTCTGATCGATGCTAGTTCCAACTAACATTTATCTTGATTATTGACTCTAAACAAGAAAATAATTATCAGTCGTCTTTGTGTTTGTACTATAGTTATTTTAGCAAACTTCCCAAGTGCCAAGTGGCTGAAAAACAATCAATTACAACATTTATTGAAATCACTAGAAGTCATTTTTGGCTTTTTCTACCCAATCCTCAACTTACAAAACAAAAACCATACCACCGAAGCTTCTTTCTAAGCTGGCAAAAAGATGAGTGGGTAAGAGAAAGTGCGGTTTTTTTTAATCTCTGTTGTTGATGGATGTGAATGTGTCTTTCATACAGCTTCTCCTGTGAATCTCTCTCCCACTAATCCACAGGCTAAAGAAAGCATTCTGCCATTTTTTTTGTTTGTTTTAGTTGTTACCATCATAAACCATTGTAAGTTTTTCCTTCATGTATAAGTCCAAATTGTGATTGGTCCTTTCTTACAGCCTACACTTTTTTTTTTTTTTTTTTTTACCACTCCAAGATACAACAAATAGAAGATACAAAGCAATTGAAATTCAAAAGGGGAACATAGCAGAACATAAACAGCAATGGCAGGACCTCTAGAAAGCACATGAAAGATCCTACTATTTAGTATCAACCATGCACTTGCAATTTGAATCATTTGGTAGAAAATCTAGGGAGGCAACAGAATGGAAGAATATACTATTTTACGGCGGACCTAATCTGGAAGGAAGGTGAGACTCAAAAGTCCAAAAGCTACCTAAGGAAAAATGAGAGAAAAAACTCCATACTAGTATTCAATATAATTAATCAAATCTATGTATTACAATAGGTATTGTGACAGTTTATAGCTCGAACACAAACGATAACAAAATGTCCACTAAGACAAACAACAAACTAATTACCAAGAAAGCCAAATTGATACACGACATAGCATTATGTAAAAACGAAGACAAACAACAAACCAATAACCAACAAAGCCAAATTGATACACAACATAGCAAACATGTAAAAATGATTATTTCTCTTGTTTGATTCTTTCAAATTTATTCTTCCAAATGGAAATTTACAATAATACAGAAGTTGTACAGGGCATAGGGTAGAAGGATTTGAGCAGTAGCAATCACAGAATCAAAAAGATACAATCACATGGGCGTAGGCTAGAAGGGGTCTAGTTGCTAATTTCTGGACTTTTACTTACAAAACAATTTTAGTTTGCAAAACAGCCAAGTAACAACATATCCTAACAGCCTCTACCGATTCAACTTCAGCAGTTACCAAACTAGTGTTAGCAACTTCGTCAGCTAAGTTTGTACCCAAATGAAGGAAATCAAGGAAAAAGACTGTATCCAGATGTACTCGTCACAGGACATGGCTATAAATGAACAAACAAAAGAAAGAACAAAAATGAACTTTAAGGCAATTTTTCCTACATCAAAGTCCAATTCAGTAGACAAAGAAAATTTTGAAACCCAGTAGAACCGTGGTCTATATTCTATAAATCTCATTTCCACAAAAGGTCATAAATTCTACTAACAGCAACCATAGAACCCAAACAGTCATTGACAAAAATCCCAATCCCCAATTTCATTGCCAGAAACCAAACATGCAAATCAACCGCAAAATAACATGATCTGATGATATTACGATGAAAAAAATTTGAATAATGTGAGGAACACGTACCGATAAAGCATTCGACTCTGAGGAAGAGATTAAAGTCACTGCCTTGAGTATACCAAATGCGGATGAAGGTTTTTTGTACTTCTCCGATGAGCGTCGTGTTCCTCTCCGGCAAAGTCGTGAAGCGGTCTTACTTTCATATAATCGATGAAAGTGGTACCGAATGTGAAGCCTCTGACGCTTGTTCACGATCAGCGCTTTACTCGAAGCACTTCTCATCAACTCAGAGACGAGAAGAGCAACTGGGTTGTTTACCGGAATATTGCCCTAAGAAACACAGAAGAGAGGAGTGAAAACTGGGAGAGACCGAGGAAGCAGAGAATCTCTGCCAAGACACGACCGAAGACCGGAGGAAATGAGGGAAGAGAGGAGTGAAAAATTTGAAAGAAGGAGAAACAGGATAAGGCGCAGAGATTCTCTACCAATACGCGACCGAAGGCTGGCTCTCTGCGCAAGAATGTGGAGTTGGGTTAGGGGTTGGTCATTAGGAATTACTCCAGAGAGCACAGTGTTGTTACTGTGCAAAGATTTGAGTTTTGGGCTGAATTAAGGGAGGGCCTGATTTTGAATCAGGACCCAAAAAATGATCCGTGACTCAAGTTGTGATCTCAGTTCAATACGACACCAAACATGGATTTGAGCACATGACTATAATCTTTAGACCAGAATCCCCCAACCACTAATGGCACCCAAACTTAAGTGCTTGAATCAGGACGTTGTCGTTAATGTTATTTGCCTAATTAAAACGATCTAGAGGCAAAATCCCTATATCCCCAAATTGCATGGTTGAGCTAAACTCTTTCTTTCCCCATCGAAATGTTGAAAAACACTAGCAGGATAACATAAATCTGGCTCAAAATTCATTACCAACATTAATTTTACGAAATTACTATCATTTAACGTCACATGCATCTCATGTCCATCATTCCTTGAATTTTTTTAACGTTTTTATCACAAAGATACCATTAGCGTCACTTAAGTTTGGGTGCCATTAGTGTGTCACTTAAAAATTTTAGGGAAAAAATAAGACAATTAGTCTTCTTTAAAGGTTAAAATTGAAATTAACTTTTAAAAGATTAAGTTCATTGCAAATTCTTAATGAAAAGAAACCTTATATCCTTAACATTCAAAGAAAGCCTCCAAATTAGGGGGGGGTACACAGACATAAGAGCAAGGCCATATCCTCCACGACATGTTAATAAGGTCATGCCTTCCTTGACATGTGAGCAAGGCGGTGTCCCTCTTAAAGTATAAGATCAAGTTCATATCCCTCCTCAACATACAAGCAATATTATGCCCCTCCTTAGATGCTAGCAAGGCTTGTCCCTCCTCGACGTGCTAGCATGTCCACGTCACTCCTATACTAGCAAGGCCATTTCCCTCATGTCTTGTCCCACCTTGGTGCTTGAGGATTTCCTCCTCCATCCTGATTGCAACTGCATGATCGTACTTCTAATACTTAAACTTTCTTCATAACACTTTAGTGTAGCAGCAGAACGAATCTCAATCACTATCTCCGAATTATTCAAAAAAAAATACTCACCTGACTGCCGTGATGCATGTTCTCAAGTAAAAAGATATGAGACCCACGATCTCAAAATTAGGAGAACACTAGTTGTGGATCCGAAAATGACGTGAGTCGAATCAAGTATGGAGGTTATGAGTGTCAGGAGCGATATAATCTTACACGAATTCGAACTCCAGTTCTTCTATAAGACTTTACTTTCTCTTGTTTACATTCTATGTTGAGAGACCGTGTAAAAATAAATTTAAGAGTATAATCCTATAAATTTAATAATGATGTAGGCTATATTGATCCAAACCACTATAAAATCTTTATATTTTTCTTTTATTTCAATTTGCATTATATATGTTTGTAGTCATCTGATCTTTCTCAATCAGATCTTAATCATTAGATTTGGTTCCTCCGTAGGTGGACTTTTACCATTAGCAATTTGATGCTAGAAAGAGGGCTTTTAAGGGTGCTTTGATTACCATTACTCACTAAAAGCCTCTTCCATGACTTTAATTAAAAAAAAAAAGGGTAGATTTGAGTTCTCAGCTTCTATCTTGATGATGCTTTAATTACCAGTAGATTTTGACCTCTTAGCTTCTGTCTTGATGATTGGAAGGGTTAACTTTCTGTCTGGCTCCCATATGCTTCCATGTCACCTGTTCACTGGATATTGCGGAATCACAGACCAAAAACAATCCATCTCTTTCTTCCACCAATGTTGTTAGCTAGACAAGCTTTGTTCCTTGAGCATTTTTGTGCATTTAGCTACCCGCAAGCATGAATTTATGTCACTTGAGCAATTTTTTGTAGTGCTCAAGTTTTCTGTTTCTTGCTTGATTAAGGACAAATATACAAGGGAATAGTTGTGGGAGATTACACAGTGGTGTAATATCCTCTCCTAATATTCTACATGGTGTTGTGTAAATGATACTCTAGAATGATCAAGCCTATATTTATTTTCTGACTCGGGTTATTTTGCTTTGAAATTGTGATGTCCAACTCTTTTTCTCCATCTATTCTTTGAATTCTAACCTTATTCTGAGGGCTTACTTTTGTCCGTTTTGCATCTTTTGACATACTGAATTTTGTTTGCAACTTTTCTTCTAGGGTGGCAATCTTTTTTGCTTCAATAATCAAATTATCTTTGTGGACTACTAAAATTGCTTCCATTTTCATACCTAGCGAATAATACAAGCAAAATGAAAGAGAAACCGAAAAGGAGATGAACTTAAAAATAAAAAAAAAATAAAAAAAAAGGACCTAAGTTATGACAAAGAGTTCATTCTTTTCATGGTTATCATAAGCTTGATCAGTAGTTTCTTACAAAAAGATGCTACTAATCATCTGCAGTATCTTCATCTTCCTCTGGTTTCACAAAGAATTCGATGTAAGCAATTCGACTGGGATGTTGATAACCTGTAGAGTCGATGTGCGTATGTGAAGTAGATGTTCTTGCAACAGAAACTAGGTGCTGAACTTTAAGTAATCCACCTCTACCAATAGTCAACTTGCTTCCCCGATTATCTCTAATGACACTGCCGGGTATGTTTGAAGTTGTTGCTCGAAGGAACTTGTATTTGTACCTATCCAAATCAGATTAAGAACACGACAAAATAGATTGCCAAATTGGACGTGATTGCGAAAGTTAATTATGAGACACCTGTAAGACACTTGACGGTCACAATGAAATGCAAGCAGAAGATCAGCATTCGCATAATACATGAAGTCTATCTGCAAATTTACATGAAGTTTAGACTAAAACATCCCTGCTTCTTTTTTCAAGCGCTTGCTCGCAAGAAAGTGGAAGAATCAAGTCTACCTGCAAATCTCCATGGCCATCGCCTCTAAAGGTGACGCTAGGCGGATTTGGTTGTACAGTGATCTGGATGCTTGCCCCTGGCCATTCAAGATCATCAATTGCTTCCTTCAATGCTGCAGTCTGTGGTTATAAACACCGTGATTCTCAATATTGGCTGTACTAGAAGATTGTCAACCATTTGAATAACTTTCAGATTATTAGTAATTAGTTTTGAAATGGGTGGCCGGAATAGGTACAAATGATATCAAATTAAAATTAGCAACAAGCTAACATAAATTTGTTTCTATTTAATCCATGGTATTAAGACAAAGTGGATAAAAAGTATCTTATGTTATCGTGGCCTTCATAACAGGAAATGGAGGACTTACCTTGACAGTAAAAGTGAGTGGGGTGCTCCCTGCAGGTTCAAAATTGTAATCCCATGATATAGTATCAGGGATCCTTGTCCTGATCTCTGCATAAATGCTAGCGTCTAGTGAATCAACAGACCTAACAAATCATACATGAGAACAGTGAAAACACTAGAATTCAAAACTATCAGCAAAAAACACAGATATTAAGTTGATGAGCAAGTTACTTTATGAATTGCATGTTATGTTTCTAAGCACCTCTAATGGATCTAGTTTATCCCAACCATTTGCAGAATAAAAAAGATCCATTTGCAATTTCAGATTGTTACACTTGACCGAGAAAATGCATGAATGAATAAAAAATTCTGACAACTTTCTTGCTTTGACTTTCTACAATGCACAATATAAACTGAATTTTCTTCAAGGATTTTTAATTTAGCAGGAAGAAGAAAGTCTAACGATTTATTTAGCATTATTTCCACGCCTTTCTTTTTGTTTGGATAAAAACCACCAAAATATGCACTGACACTCTAGATAATAATATCCTTAGAGTTGCCAATTATAAAGCTGATGGTGATTATTTTTCATAAAGTTGGCAAGAACACTATCTGAAAAGACTGTAAAACCCAGATAAACCCCAGATTGAATTTTTGTTCTGAAGCATCCAAAGAGCATATAGCACTTTATTATATAATAATTATCAGTATCATCATTTCTTGTAATTAACTTGAGGCAACTATAAACACATACACACAATTCATTATGAAATTGCCTTAGACATACTTGAGAAGTAGCTGCATATCAGGCCCAGGATATTGAATTTCGATTGTGTTGGAATGTCCAGGAGCTGAAAATGTGTTCAAGCAATCAACAAATAGTCCCAAGCTCACTCCCAACCGAGGCCTTCCTTGTGCGCCGTACTCATAACGAATGAAAAGCTACAGCAAACGGGAATTTTAGACAACAAAACAATTTTCAACTTCCCTAATAGCTCTTTTTTTTTTTTCCCCTTCCTTTTTCTTTGATAAGAGAACTTTCAAAACAGCATGATTCACCGTCTAATTCACAAGAAAATAGCAAAAACTCCAGTTTTCTCAGGTCCGAAACTGCGTTTTCTTTCGTGCCAATCAAGAAATTTCAATCAATAAAGCTGAAGATCAAATAAATACCTCGCGCTGCAGATAAACCTTGGCCTGAAGACAACTCGTCTCCTCCACAATCACGACCATTCCGTGCTCCGATATTTCGATGACCGCATCCTAATCGTTTACATTTAGATCATTTAAGGAAGGGCCTAAATTTTCCAGCAAAGCAGCGGCGTAAGATATTCCGTTTGATTCTCGAGAAAGTGTTTGGATTCTTTTTTCTCGAGAACCAAACAGAAAATTGGGGAAAGTGAAGAAATGCCTACCTGTTGGCGCTTCCATCGGGCGGCGGTGAGAGCGTCGACCATGCCCTGGACGTTGTCAAGCTGACAAACCAGATCGGGAGCATCGGAATCTGTCGCCGACGACTCCATTCTTCTCCTTCCAGCCAAAGTAATCCTCGCCGCATTCTCATTTCTCACTCCCTATTTATTACATTATTTGAGCGCGAGGTATTAAAATAAACTTGCAATTTTTTTAAAAAGTTTTTTTTTTTAATTTAAGCTAAAACTTACGTGGCCTTTGTTAATTGGATTAACTAGCTCCATAACAGTGCACCTTCCCTCACCCAAGGCATCAATAAAAAAAACAAAAGAGATTACCCAATAGGAAAAGAAAAACCAAAACAAAAAGTAATAAAATCAGAAAGCAAGAGAAAAACCTAGTAGCTAAACCGCCACTAGTTCCGCCTCTTATATGGTCTCTTATCACTCCAGGCGGAGCCTATAGAACTCCCGCGGCTTCTGCGACTCCCGAATCTCACTTCTCCCGATCTCCGGTAGGATTTTCCTCCGCCGAGTTACTCTCTCTCTCTCTCTCTCTCTCTCTCTCTCTAGATTCGTTGAAGTTTTTGCACTTAATCAGACATTACCCTAGCTTTCTAATTGTAATTTTTCTTAATGATTCATAATTAGCTTAAATCGTCACTTTATCTCTTATGGCGATATCTATTTTTGTGTATTTTTGTGTTTAATTGCAGATTCTCGCACTTTTTTCTCCATAATTCGTTCAGGTTTTCTTTTACAAGCAAAGATGGCGTCGCGTTTCTGGACTCAGGTTCCTTTTATTTCGATGAAATTCGGATTTTGTTTATTTGATTTATTGTTTACGGTAAAGTTATGATTTTTTCCCCTTTTTTCGTGTTCAAATCCAGCCCGGAAGTGATTCCGAGTCAGAGGAGAGTGATAATGATTTGGGGAGTGTTGATGGTGAGCCCACCTCCGAACCGACCGTTAACAGATATCTTAGGGAGAATGATAGCGATAGCGACGCCTCTGATGACCAAAAACGTGTCGTTAGATCGGCCAAAGACAAGCGTTTTGAGGAGTTGTCGGCCACTGTCGACCAGATGAAGAATGCCATGAAGATCAATGACTGGGTTAGCCTGCAGGAGAGCTTTGACAAGATTAATAAGCAGCTTGAGAAAGTGATGCGTATCACCGAGTCTGACAAGGTCCCGGGCCTTTACATCAAGGCTCTTGTTATGTTGGAGGACTTCTTGAGTCAGGCTTTGGCGAATAAGGATGCGAAGAAGAAGATGAGCAGTAGCAATGCCAAGGCATTGAATTCCATGAAACAGAAATTGAAGAAGAACAATAAGCAGTACGAGGACGCAATTAATAAATTTAGGGAGAATCCCGAGAGTGAGGAGGAAAAGGATGTGGATGAGGATATTGACGACGAGGAAGAAACTGACTCTGAGATTGAGGAGGATATTACCAAGATTGCCGAGTTGGGTTCTGAGGATGACGATTATGAAGATGATGAAAGGGAACCTGAAGTCGGGTGGGAGAGGAAGATGAGTAAGAAAGATAAGCTCATGGATAAACAGTTTATGAAGGATCCTAGAGAAATCACATGGGATATTGTGAATAAGAAATTCAAGGAGGTTGTGGCTGCTCGTGGACGTAAGGGAACTGGAAGGTTTGAGCAGGTTGAGCAGCTTACTTTCCTGACAAAGGTTGCCAAGACCCCTGCGCAGAAGCTCGAGATTCTTTTTAGTGTTGTTTCTGCTCAATTTGATGTCAATCCAGGTCTTAGTGGGTACATGCCTATTAATGTGTGGAAGAAGTGTGTGCAGAATATGCTCGTCATACTTGACATTCTGGTGCAGCATTCTAACATAGTGGTGGATGACACGATTGAGCCTGATGAGAATGAATCCCAGAAAGGAGCAGACTACAATGGAACAATCCATGTCTGGGGAAATCTTGGTGCCTTCTTGGAAAGGATAGATACGGAGTTTTTCAAGAGCTTGCAATGCATTGATCCACATACTCGGGAGTATGTTGAAAGACTTAGAGACGAGCCAATGTTTTTGGTTCTTGCTCAAGATGTACAAGAATATTTAGAGCGTGTCAAGAATTTTAAAGCTGCTGCTAAGGTAGCCTTAAGGCGGGTAGAACTTATCTATTATAAGCCACAAGAGGTTTATGATGCCATGAGGATATTGGCTGAGCATGCTGGAGAAGGTGATGATGGTGAAGACTCAAATGAGGGGCCTAAGGTTGAAGAAAGTAGGGGTCCATCTGCATTTATTGTTACTCCTGAGATTGTTCCTCGGAAACCCAGCTTTCCAGAGAATAGCAGAACGTTGATGGATATGTTGGTGTCTTTTATATATAAACATGGAGATGAGCGGACTAAGGCTCGTGCAATGCTTTGTGATATTTACCACCATGCTCTCCTGGATGAGTTTTCCACTTCCCGTGATTTGCTGCTAATGAGTCACTTGCAAGATCATGTTCAGCACATGGACATCTCAACACAAATCCTTTTTAACAGGGTTATGGCACAACTTGGTCTATGTGCATTTCGGGTTGGACTTATTGCTGAAGGGCACAGCTGCCTTTCAGAGCTATATTCGGGTGGAAGGGTAAAGGAGTTGCTTGCACAAGGTGTTTCACAAAGTAGATATCATGAGAAGACTCCAGAACAGGTACTTTCGTTTGTGTTTTTTGTTTTTACTAGGTAGATAAGTTTTGATTGAGCCTGGGTGTCATTTTATAATGGAAGGCAAAATCCAAACGTTTCCCTATTCTCTTCAGGGTTGCATTCCAATATTTATGTGCAAAGGGATAAAGGGTTGTTTATGCACAAGCATTATAATGCATTATTCTCTTGAGTTAATAATTTGAGCTATATATACATCTATGAATATATATAATATATTGTGTGTGTGTGTGTGTGTAGTGGTAATGACTAATGATTCTGATGAAGTTAAGTAATTTAACTGTTTGGAATGCAAATGTCCCCCCTCCCCATATTAAATCTTCACTTATCCTTGTGAAATTATGGAGTTAGGCTTTTAGAGCAATTTAGCATAATTGACATGATGGACCAATGTAGAGACAGTAGACAAAGGTTCTGAAAAGCTTAAATAAATGCATTGTAGCATTAAGACTTAATGGGGTGTAAAGTTTGCATTAATGGAGTTACGGAGATAAGCGAAGCAAATATAACAGAATCATCAATTATTCTCATGAAACTAAGAAGTTGGATTTTGAAGGCTGAAAGAATTAGTGTGGTCTTGGTAGCATAAAGACTTAACGGGGTCTAAAAATAGAGGATTACATCTTTGTGCAAACCCTTATTTTAGTATATTATAAATTTATAATGTTATGCCCCAAGTAAGCAATTTTTTTCTTGATCATAAATAATGGGATTTTCCCTTTTTCCTCATTCAGGAAAGGTTGGAAAGGAGACGGCAGATGCCTTACCATATGCATATTAATCTTGAGCTCTTGGAGGCAGTCCATTTGATTTGTGCCATGCTGCTGGAAGTGCCTACTATGGCAGCCAATGTACATGATGCAAGGCGCAAAGTCATAAGCAAGAATTTCCGGAGACTGCTTGAGGTGAGTGAGAAGCATACCGTCACAGGCCCCCCTGAAAATGTTAGAGACCACGTAATGGCTGCCACTAGGGCCCTCACCAAAGGTGACTTCCAAAAGGCCTTTGATGTAATCACGTCTCTCGATGTCTGGAAGCTCCTGAGGAATCGTGATGACATTTTTGACATGCTCAAGGCTAAGCTCAAAGAAGAGGCTCTGAGAACCTACCTTTTTACTTATGCCTCAGCCTACCAGTCCCTGGGCCTGGATCAGCTCTCCAAAATGTTCGACCTCTCAGATGCACAGGCACGCAGCATTGTTTGCAAGATGATGATAGACGAGGAGCTCTATGCGAGTTGGGACCAGCCAGCTAACTGCATTGTATTCCATGATGTTGAGTACACTAGGCTACAGGCTTTAGCATTCCAGTTGACAGATAAGTTGTCGATCCTGGTAGAGAATAATGAGAGGGCAACAGAGGCAAGGTTTGGCGGTGGCGGAATGGATCTGTCTTCAAGGCGTAGAGACGGTCAGGACTATGCTACTGCTGCTGCAGGCGGTAGATGGCAAGAGAATTCGTCCTATACTCAAGGGAGGCAAGGTGGTGGCACTGGACGTACAGGGTACAGTGGTGGAGGGAGAGCATGGGCATACGGGCAGGCTCTGGGTGGCGGGTATTCGAGGGACAGATCTGGGCAGTTTCGAGGAGCAGGCCGGAGCACCCGATATCAAGATGGGTCTGGAAGAACAGGTTTGGGTGCGAGGGGATTGCAGATGGATTCTTCGAGTCGCATGGTCAGTCTGAACAGGGGTGTTCGAGCTTAACGGGACATATAGTAGTTAGACTACTGGAAGAGAAGAGAACTTCAAAATTCAGGCATTTTAATTAGTTGTTTGATCTTCGGTTGTTCTTAAATATAATCGTTTAATTTAGAGAACCACCGTTAATTTAATATTTGAATTTATAGTTTTTCTGGGTTTGACCGCAAGTTTGGAATTTTAAGGAACAGGTGATGTTGATTTTATGCCTCTTTTTGTTTTTTGTTTTTTCCTCTAATTTTTGTTGAAAGATTTTCATCCAGTTTTCTCTGCTTTCGTAATTTTCTTTGTCTGACTGTTGATATCGACACCCATGCAAAACTGGCTATAATCTGAAAATATATTAAATAAATAAATTATATATAAAACCAAGACAATTGTCATCTCATTTTTTTTTTTTTTAAAAAAAGATCCTCTTACATTATTGTTATAAGGCTTGTAACTTCTATAGGGCCGTGTGATATGCAGTAATTTAAGGATGAGAATGAGAATCCTATAGATTTCTATGTTTAGTATAAGAATTGTATTTTTTTTTTTTCATTTATGAGAAAGTGAATCCTATGGGTATCATTTTATCTCACTTTGGGGTAATATCAAACGCACTGGTTATTTTACTTTCCTAAAAATCTCAATACCATGGAAAATAATTAAAAAACAACATTATCAAATCAATGAAACACCAACAGACCAGCAACTCCTCCCCTTCCCCACCACCAACGCTACAGACCCGCCATCACAGGACAAGGTCGTCGTTGGTGCCATTGTCGTCGCATCCCATCACGACCGGAGCCTTGTAGTGTCGCCTATCTCCACTCCAGCAACCCCACTGTTAAATACGCTCATCTGCACTTATCCTCGTCGAAAGGCCACGAATCACCAACCAGAGCCCTGAATCGCTGCCCATCCTCATCTACGACTACAATAGCGATTGCCTCGTCTTCATCCCCATTGTTGCAGATCCGCTAAACCCAGCCCCTCCCAAATCAAGAGAGAGAGATGTGTTTTTTGTTTTTGTTTTTTTTTTTTTTAATAAACTTCTCCTGAAGAAAGAGGAAGAGGCGTTAGATGTTTATTTTTTTCATAATTTTTAAAATATAGTACCAAATTTATTAAAACTTCTAATATTTATTCTTTAAAATGTTTTTTAAATCTAAGGTGTGAAAGTTAAAATCACTCAATTAAATAAAATTTAATTAGTTTAATATAATTTAAAATTAATTTTATAAGAAAAATTACATTATATTACTATGCACAATCAAACACCGTAAAATAACATTTTTGAAAATCTAACAAAAGATTCTTACGCATAAGCAAATATGATAATGTAGGTTTCCAGAAAATCATATTACCCACCATCACTTTTTCAGGTATTTGATTCATATTAATTACTGCATACCAAACGCTCCCTATATGTTGAAAGTATTGTCCTCGACAAGCAAAAAACACACATAATTGGTAATCCTTAGCTCTTCTTTTAAAAATTATAATGAATGGACTTTCTCTGGTACGCCAACATACCGGTAGGTTAGATTTTCTAAATGTTAGATCTATATAAAATCATGTAAAAGTTAAAAAGTATACAGATCTAACAGTTAGAAAAACTTAATCTACCGATACACCGGCGTACTAGAAAATCTCCCATAAAGTAAAACCCGTGCAACTAATAAAAGCACATCTCAGAACAAAAATAAATTAAGCAAAAAATTTGGAAATAGTGGAGTTGTTGTAATATCATTATGTCATTGCTTGCTCAACGGAGGATGTTGATTTGAATACACATTTGATTATACCATGTTGATATAAATACACATTTAATTATATTATAAGATGTAGAGTTTAAATCATTCACCACTAACTATAAGTACATACAGATCCGTCTTGTAAGATAAATGAGAGTGAAAACTGGTTGGATGATTAATGGGAGATTAATTTAAACTCTTTTCACGGAAAGGGACTGAAGAGCATGAATGATTCCTTTCTTTGATTAGCAAAAAAAAAGAGTACATACTGATCCGTACATACATGTTCTTTGAAGTTAGTTCGTACCACCATATTTCATATTGTTTTGCTCAAAATCATAATCAACCTCCTGAGGAGTTTCTGTCAATAATCAATTAGAATGCACCGCAATCACCCAAAAAAAAAAAAAAAAAAAAAACACCTCGACGACCAAGATCGACTCAAGTCCACACGAGATAAGAAATTATCTTCAAATTTGTATATTAAACAAAAAAAAAAAATCCCAGCCGAAATAAAATGACCAACTACCCAATAGGAATTTCCCTATAAATAGGGAAGGGCAGACTTTTTCCATCATCATTCTCTGGAATTCACGCTCAATCAAGTAACCTAAATCCTTATCATAATTTTCAAGCACTTCTTGCAATATTCTCTCAATGTATAGACATAGTAAAAATCCACGCACTACAATGAGAGTAGCTGTAGCTTTCATTATTATGTTCTTCTTATATTTATTTTCTGCACTTCATTTACTGCTCATACATTAGATCAGTCTCTGGCAGTGGCAACTAGATAAATGCTCGGTTCCCATAAACTCCTAATAATTGTATTTCACACACACCAAAATGGCAATAAAAAAGCAATTAAAAAAATAAATAAAAGAACTTGGCATTAAAGTTAACCAAAATACATCAACGCAAAGAAAGAAAATGTACTTATTTCCCCTTTTAATTTCTCTAAAATGATACAAACCAAATCCAATTTTTTTTCAGTCGTCTTTTTTATTTTTTTGATAGCTAACACCACTCAGCTAAGCTCCAGAAACCGAAGGGTGCTAAACATGTATTGCCTGTCAAATGTCACTTCCCATATGGAGCCATTATCCAACTTGAACCAAACAAAAATTTCACGCTCATGTTTTCGAAAATGCCGACAACGCAACCAAAGAACTTAACCACGCCAGGAATGAATACATTGCTGGATAAACAGTGGCTGAAGATTACGAACAGGTATGAGACATTGGGGCCATTATCTGCCTGGAGCTTTGCACAATGAACGAGTGACCAACCAATGTAGATGCCATAGATTGACCTCAACCGCCATGATCCTAGATTGGGGCAAGCTCAAACCTATTCGAAATTATTTCCCGAGCTTCACTTGCATTTGGTCTTTAATCCATCATCGTACGCCTCTGGCTGTAGTTATTATGAAATGTTTGGCTTTGCTCCTTCAAACGGAATATGCCTTATTGTGTAAAACTATCCGACCGTGTGTTGTTTGCAACCCTTGGGTCCATAATGTCGTGAGCTGCGCCTTACAATCTTCTTGCACAAGTAACAATAGTGGACTTGGCATGCCCAGCAGAAGAGATGATTATTATTGCCAACCTGTGAAGGTATTAAAAATATAGATAACAGTGTTCATTAAGAAAATGGCAAGAATAAATTCTGCAAGGCAAGTTGAAACAACTAAAAAATCTAACAAATTGTAGCGAAGAATGACAATGCGATCAACCAATGGATCAGAACGTCTCATTATCATTTTGAATTTAGAAAGAAAATATTTTTTCACAAGTAACTACTGGAAAGAAACTGTCGATATCTAAGACATGTCAGACCTAGTCTTTGCTCACCTTCGCATTAAATTGGCGACAATTAGGGCAAAGTTGACCTTGACCCTGTCCAACAAATAGTTGAGCTTGAACCTGACCTAAAACCTGGCGCGCATTCATGCGCTCCTCCCACTCCTGAATCATTTGTGGAGGGTACAAATCGCACGCCCCATCCCTTCAATTGATAAAAAGAAGTATTAGTTTTGCATAGAGTTGGCAAATATTTGCATGTTCGAAAAGAAATCAACCAAACAAAAAGATGGATTCTGAGAATTGAGAAACAAACCTGAAATGGTCATAACCATCAATTGCTTTGCCACATCGATAGCAGAAGTATTGACCGCAGTTGCTACAGGCCATCTTGTTGCAGCCTTCAGTTCGTGAGATAGCCATTTTGCAAGATGGGCAATTCTTAGCATCCCGAAGTATTTCTTTGACACTAAGAAGTTCATTAATCATTTCAAGTTCTCTACGCTTTTGTTCATCCCTTAATTGAGATGATTTCTGTCGATCCTGCAAATTACAAGTATTCCGGCCAAATAGATGAAGGATGCAGTGAACTATAAAAAGCAAGAATAAATATTAATTAGATTAAAACTTTGCAAGAGTAATTACATGGATTTGTAGTTTTATACAACTTAAACAAAAACCCAGACCACGATGAACTTGCATCTCAGCTGACATGCTACAAAAAGGCTCTTCTAATGTTATAGCTTACCAAATACTAACGGTTAAACTATTAAAATAAACTCCAAGAGACAGCTATTATTTAGCAAAATCTAATTTATACTATATATAAAAGAGTACAAAAGAATCTCACTGTGCAGTTTTGGTAGTCAAAACGCACAGTTTTTGGTTTTTTTTTTTTTTTATTATTATTACCTTTCTCCTTTCTTTCGTTTCTTTTCTTTCCTCATGCTAATTTTTTAACCATTTTTTTGCTTTCTTTCTCTTGCATTACTTTTTTTTCCCTCTCTTTTCCTTTGCTCCATTTATCTACTATAGTTTGTGTAAAACCGCTTAAATCCTTATTTATTTTTAACTCCACCGTTTGTGTTTTATCTTTTTTTTATTCATTTTTTTTAACTCTATTTGTTTACCATTGTATTTTACAAATGCTTTTTTACATTTTTTTAAATCTTTTTCATTTTCTTTCTAACTCCATTCTTTATTTTTTATTTTGTTTCTTCCTATTTTAGCTTTCTTCTGTCACTTTTTAACTCATTAACTTTCTTTCTTTCCGCTTTCTTTTTTTTCCCCCCTATCTTTTTGGCACCATTTGTCTACCGTAGTCATTTACACTAATATTCTCCTAATTTTTCCTTTTTTGTTTCTCTTTTACTATCATTCTCTCTCTTAGATTTATTGAACCTAAATCTAAACTTTCTCATCAGAATAATCTCCTTGCTTGTGCTTATTTTTTTATTTTATTATCAAATAATTTAGAATGTTTCATCAATTTATTCATATAAGCTTTTCACTTAGACTATTATTTATATACTCTTTTTAAATTTCTTAGTAAACTTTTTTTCTATATTTTATTTTTTTATTTTTGGTATTCTACGTTATTAAAATTTTAATTACAACTCCATACGTGCATCGCAAGTAGCCTAAACTAGTCTATTAACAAGGCAGTTTTATTTGGTTAAAAACAAAAGATAACATGGGAGTAAGAAGATCTCTAAAAAATAGCTGACCGAGGAATTAAAAAAAAAATTACCTCTAGGATTTGAAGCTTTAATTCTGGGGTCATACATTGGACACCTAAATGGCGTTTCTCCCTGCAAAGCGTGCAAAAGCTAAAGAAACACTTTGAGCATTGAGCATGCTGGTCTTCATCCTCTATGCAAGGTGTTTCACATCGTGGGCAATAAGCAACATCAGACATAGACTCGAGTGTTTTCTGTAACATTAGAGACTCCCACCACTCGTACTCTTCTTGACTGAGCAATCGTTTTAACAAACTAGGTGGGACCATAACACCACATTTTGCTTCAGGACATTGTAGCTTGCTCACTGTGCCTTCACTGATGTGCATGTCAGAGTAAGCCTTCATGCATTTCCAGCAGAAGAAATGGTGGCATGGTAGCCTGACAAAGTCGGTCCCTAAAAACATAATTAACAAACAGATAAAAAGAACCAAACTAGGTCCATGTGTGAACAGGTTTCTCTTGACTGTAAGTCCTTGAAGTCATCCTATGTAAAAAATGAGAATTGGCTCGTAGAGAAATCGGATGTGCCGGAAATCAACGGTTTTCGTGAAACACACACTCATTATATTTATTTAAAAAATAAATAAAAGTAAATACCCTTGATAAGATTTAACAATACGAAAACCCCTGACTACTCAGACCACTAATGATAGTGTAGAAAGACCAAAATCCCATATAAGCATAAATTTAGGGGAAAAAAATATCACAAACTAACAAAAAGGAAACTAAAATTCAAAATTGCAGCTATTTATGAGTTATTTTAGTGGTTGAACAGTTAAAAGGTCAACTGACTTTGTGCATAAATTAAGCGGAAATTGAAAGAAGATCCAAGGGTAACTTAGAATTTTTTTTTTTTTTTTTTTTTGGTTTAAGATAAAAGTGTAAAAAGAACATTTGTTAGGCTTCACTATAGAAAGTACAATCAGTGTGATACATTTCACAAAAGAGATTTAGTGTTGACGATTGACAGTTCCTTTGAGTCAAGGATCATTGAGAGTAATTTAGACAAAACTTATGGAGTTGTGACTCCGAGGATACCAAATTCAACAAAAAAGCTGAAACAAAGAGAGTATAGAATACCTGGATAATCCTCAAAACAAATGCAACATTCCTGCAAATTTTGTCGGAAGTTCTCAAGGAGTCTCTCATCATTGAAGCTTCTAATAAATGGAACATCCGTATCTGGTGAAACACTCCCTGAAACTGCACGCATGTCTTCTACACGTCTTATACCATAAGGACCGAGAATTATTTCACTATCAAACCCAAGATATGAAAGAGCAGAGCTATTTAACCATTCCACCCACTGGTATATAACCTCTTGCCCATGTTGCTCCTTCCATATGGTGCCAAGCATGGAGCAAAGATTGGCAACTTTTATAGAATCCAACCACTGAACAGATAACGTAAAATAAGGGGGTAGGTGGCTTGGGTACGATTTAGGTAATAAACATATCAGCAGAATTGGTGGGAGATATTGAACTTTAAATGAGTATGAGAAGTCATCCCTATTGTTGTTGTCTATGGTCTTGACATCTCCAGATGAATTTAGCTTTGTCGTAACAGTGATTCCATTAGGAGCTTCAATGTGGATATGAACCTGTGACACAGAATAATGTTGTTAGACTATTCACCTGTTTACTTTTTCCTGGTGTTAGAAGGAACTTCAAAGTTACTAGCTTATTTCAACACCTGAAAAGATTGAAGGCCATCTTCTCTGTCAAGGATGAAAACATTATCTCCATAGATGGATTCCATGACGAGTAACTGCAGAAAGCGTTAAAAGATAAGATAAGGTGGGGGCATGACAACAATTCTCAATTTTCCAGTGTTTCTACCTCATTAAACTAGTTATTTTTCTAGAGCTAGTCAATACTCATTCAATATTTTCTTCCAAATCTTCAAATTCTGTACGCTCCGGATTCTGGTATGTTAAAGTATCTCAACAACTTTTCACGTATTAATACGTTACATTACCATAATATAGGGAAGGGGAAGCCCCACTTTTTGAAACTTGTTCCTCTGCGCGTTTACTTTAAGGCATTTCAATTTCGTAAAAATGCCACAGCATCTTCAATTTCTTTTCTTAATATTGAACATAGCAACCAACTTAAGATTCTTCTTTCCCTTTTACTTTCATCTAAAATTGTTTAAAAAGTGAGAATGATTTGTTTCTCTATAGCAATGATGCCAAGCCATTCAATGCTGGCATCTTGCATTGTTAGTAAACACGTGACACACATGTTTGATTGCCGCTGACGAATGTGATTTGAACTCCAAAATACGGTACACTATGTCGTCGGCAATGCTCATAGCCATCTCACATCCCTACGTAACATACAAAACAAAAATCCTGGTCTTTTCTTTTCCTTCAAATCACAATGCTCGATAAAAGGCTCCTGACAAATCTCTTCCGGTTGTAACAAAATAAGGACGTTTTATTTGAACCTAGAACCGGTTTACTCATCAACATAGACAAAACAAACACATTGGCTATATCAATCTATAACCTATGATGATACCGTACGAACGGGTATTAGGGATGGTTGGAAGTGTTTGGGTTATCTTAGTGAATAACGGCAAGAAAGTATCTTTTAAAAGGAAAATTCAAAAAAGATCAAAGAAAGTTTCACCACTTAAGAATAAGAGAATCACCACCTTAAGATACACAAACAGAGAGAATTCACCACTCAATGGAATCCACCAAAGAGATAAGAATTTAAATTGATACAGTACGGACGGGTATTAAGGATGGTTGGAATGATGAAGATGCATGCCCGATTGCACTTGTGGAAGCCCAATGCGAGTCCAAATGTGACAGAAATAAATTCAATCAAAAAAACTGTTGAAAATCAACAGCCTTTGATGTATTCATAATGACCACTAGTTGGCTAATTGATTGAAGAAGAGCAAAAGATAGACTCATATTAACTAGCCTTAATTTCTGGGTTTTTATTGAGTGTATTAGTGTTTTTTAATAGTGTGTGAATTTAAAGATTCTTACCCGCTACTTTGCTCTCTTCCTTTCTTCAGCCCACTTATCTCTTCCCACCCTAGCCCTGGTTCAAATCCAAACCATTCTGTCACCCTTGAAAAGGAATTCCTTTTCTGCTTCTTGGCTTATGCTTCAGTGGCAGCTTCCTCATCTGCTTCGTTCGTTTCAAAAGACTCGGTATGGCTGAGTGTTTTATAGCCATTAGTGTCTTATTTTTTGTTAGTGGTTGATTATGGCTTGTAGTTAATTTGTGTTAGTGGATGAATTAAGGATCTGACTTTCAGCCTTTTTTATAACTGAATATAGCATCTGGAGGGTTTGTTCCAATGCTATTTATTTGTGATTTTCGGATGCATAATAGAGCCTATGATTTAGAGTGATGAAATGACAAAGTGAAATTCAGCCTGAAATTTTTATCTCTCTGGTGGATTCCATTGAGTGGTGATTTCTCTCTGTTTCTGTATCTAAAGATGGTGATTCTCTTATTCTTAAGTGGTGAAACTTTCTTTAATCCTTTTTGAATTTTCCTTTTAAAAGATAATTTCCTGCCTTTAGTCACTAAGATAACCCAAACACTTCCAACCATCCCTAATACCCGTCCGTATGGTATCAATTTTGGTATCAAAGCCAAAGCGCTCCTACAATTTCACCATGTCACTACACTGTTGCAAGGCCTGTTGTGCCAAATTTTCCATTATTGACCTTGAGTGTTTGACGATTCGTATTGGAGGCACCAAATTTTGATGTTGAAGTAGCTAGAGAATGGTTTGATTCTGATCCAATATTTGACCAAAGCGACAATGAAGAAGAAGGTGAAAATTATTATTTTGGTCCGATTTATGATACAAGTAATGGAGAAAATGAAGATGATATTCTTGAATTTTGTCCAGTAATCAATTCTAGTAATGCCATAATTGATGAGCACGAGTCAAGCCAAAAGATTGTTGAAGAATGTTTTGCTGCAGATAATCAAGTGTCCTTGATGATTCAACATTCATTTCATGTTCCCTATTTTCTTGAGTATGGAGATGGTTGTTTAAAAGAGACAAATGTTGACACACTTGTTTCGCCTGAAGATTTTCATACAAACGAGTTCAAAAGAATGTATTCGCAAATTACTTTTCAAAGTGAGAAGAAAATTATTCTCAACGCAAATCACTTGAAGGTACTTCGAATTCGAGGACGAATTCTTTTCCCACCAGGGGAGAATGATGAAGATGCATGCCCGATTGCACTTGTGGAAGCCCAATGCGAGCCCAAATGTGACAGAAATAAATTCAACCAAAAAAACTGGTGAAAATCAACAGCCTTTGCTGTATTCATAACGACCACTAGTTGGCTAATTGTTTGAAGAAGAGCAAAAGATAGACTCATATTAACTAGCCTTAAATTCTGGGTTTTTATTAAAGTGTATTAATAGTGTGTAAATGGCTGAGTGTTTTATAGCCATTAGTGTCTTATTTTTTGTTAGTGGTTGATTATGGCGTGTAGTTAATGTGTGTTAGCGGATGAATTAAGGATCTGATTTTCAGCTTTTTTATCACTAAATATAGCATCTGGAGGGTTTATTCCAATGCTATTTATTTGTGATTTTCGGATGCATAATAGAGCCTATGATTTAGAGTGACGAAATGAAAAACTGAAGCCAAATTCAGCCTGAAATTCTTATCTCTCCGGTGGATTCCATTGAGTGGTGATTTCTCTCTGTTTCTGTATCTTAAGGTGGTGATTCTCTTATCCTTTAAGTGGTGAAACTTTCTTTAATCCTTTCTGAATTTCCCTTTTAAAAGATACTTTCCTGCCTTTATTCACTAAGATAACCCAAACACTTCCAACCATCCCTAATACCCGTCCGTACGGTATCAATTTGGTTGGAAGTGTTTGGGTTATCTTAGTGAATAAAGGCAAGAAAGTATCTTTTAAAAGGAAAATTCAAAAAGGATTAAAGAAAGTTTCACCACTTAAGGAAAAGAGAATCACCACACCTTAAAGATACAGAAACAGAGAGAAATCACCACTCAATGGAATCCACCAGAGAGATAAAAATTTCAGGCTAAATTTCGCTTTTTCATTTCATCACTCTAAATCATAGGCTCTATTATGCATCCGAAAATCACAAATAAATAGCATTGAAACAAACCCTCGAGATGCTATTTTCAGTTATAAAAAGGCTGAAAGTCAGATCCTTAATTCAGCCACTAAAAACACTAATACACTCAATAAAAAACCAGAAATTAAGGCTAGTTAATATGAGTCTATCTTTTGCTCTTTTTCAATCAATTAGCCAACTAGTGGTCGTTATGAATACAGCAAAGGCTGTTGATTTTCAGCAACTTTTTTGGTTGAATGGATTTCTGTCACATTTGGGCTCGCATTAGGCTTTCATAAGCGCAATCGGGCATGCATCTTCATCATATGATTTCAATTCTTCAAGAGAAACAACCATCTAAAAACTAGGCAACACATTCCAAATTCTCCGTCACGAATCCTCCGTTCATTGCGAATAAAACACCTTACATAGTAAATGACTTTCCTCAAAATACGAAAAAAGATTCATGTATGCAACTAAACATGATAATGTATATTTACTGGAAATCATATTGCCCTCTATCACTTTTCTAGTAATGTGATTTTTCCTTATCACCGTATGCCAAACGCCCCCGATTCATGTATCCAACCAAAAATGATAATGCATATTTCCTGGAAATTATGTTACCCTCTATCACTTTTCTAGTAATGTTTCTAGTAATGTGATTCTTCCTTATTTCCATGCCAAATGCCCCCTATGTGCATTCACCAAGAATAGGAGGATCAATCATCTAAACTAGTCGTCATATTTCAAACTCTCATATCATCATTTCAACAATTCTCTACTCATTGCAAATAAAAACACCAAGGAACTAACGTATAATTAACCTTAAACATCTAAAAGTAAATCCTATGATAAAAATAAATTAAACATCATTTCTAACAATAAACCGCCAATTAAAAATATTAGAACAAAAATCCCAACATTGGAATCAAATTAGCTGAACTAATTACCTCATCCATCTGAGACTGAGAATTAATCCTCAACTGCTCCTCCGACAACTCAGGCTCTTCAACCCCCAACCTTAATTTCTCCAATCTCCCCATAATATCATCATCATCATCATCCTTATCATTACTGGACTCGCAATCCTCTTTTCTCACTTCTCCAACCTCATCATTCACCATTGCCAAATCGCCACTTTCCTCTTTCCCATCCACTGCTTCATCAATAGTCAACGACCCCACTTCACTATCCAACGAACCCACCTCGGATTTCTCGACAGACCCACGTTTGGCACCGCGGCCGCGGCGATTCCTCGACGCCCACCTGGGATTTCGGCGCCGCGCGGGAGGGAGATTGAAGATGGGCGGTTCGTGGGTTGTTGTGGCGGTGGGTTCGAGATGGGAAGTCGACGGCGGCTGTGGGCCCACTTCGTGATTGGGATTGTGAAGGTGGTGTTGATCAAGAGGTTTCGGAGCCCATGTTTCGTCAGCTATGATGGAGTGATGATCTTGTTTTCCTCCTCCCCCTCTGCTCTTTCTCATGGCGGCAAAATGACGCGGCGAGAACAGCGGCCGTTTGGAGTCGGTGGCAAATTTATATTTTATAGTGTTTTCGTGTGCGTTTCTCTTTTAAAGTTTTTTTTTTTTTGAAATAGTAATTTCTTTTCCTTGATAAAAAGAAAAAAATATTCTTGTAGGTTTGAACCATTAAATTTTTCTTTTTTTTTAACAAAATTTGAAGTTTTTGATCAAAATTTTTTGGTTAAAATTTATGAACAGAGTGATACTTTAAAAAGTTTCGTTTGATTTTAACATTTTTAAGAGGTTATGTCTGTGTAAAGAACTTTATTTGATTTTAACATTTTTTAAAAGTTATGTCTATGTCTATTCCGCTTTAATTTTAAATTGTTGACGAAGAAACGTGTTTAATGAAAATTATAAAATTCCAGATCAAATGATAACACAAATTTCTCAATTTTTAATCTTGGTTCCTTTAGTTTAATAAAAAAATGAAAGAAAAATTAATAAGATGAGACACATTGTAATTATTTTACAAATTGAGAAAACAATTTGTTAAAATAAGAAGTTTGGGGAGTTACAATAACTCCATACATTTAGAGACAAATATGAAAAATGCCCTTTCTAAAATGGTAAGCTTGAAATATTGATCAAGAAGTTTGAAATACTTCTTCATTTGAAAGTTTAAAGGCTTAAATTCATCATAAACTTCTAGACTTGTTGAGTATTACAATCTCAAAATAGAAAGTGTCAATCTATACTTGCAATCACAAACATGACAAAATGAGAAAATGTAAGCTCTTTTTTTTTTCTTTTTCATATCATAAGTGAAAATAAGGCATTTCATTTTCATTTCATGCACGGTTTAAATGTAACTTATTAAAAGCTCGTCCATATACATATATATTATTAAGTATATTGTAACACAAAAACAAGCATAGAAAAATAATAATCTATGAAATTTTATTAATCAATCAACTGCCAATAAATGCACAATTAATTCCTCTGTAAATATAAGATTCAAAATTGAAATTAAAGGAAATTTGCTCTATCTACAACTGGAATTGAAATTCAAAGAAACTATCCTTATTCTAAATTCGAAATTAACAAATCTGAATGTGAAACAATAAAATAGGAAAAATTTAAAAACTCCGCTCAAAAGTCAACTTCAAATTTTTGTGGCTCCATCGTCCGGTTTACCAGACGTATTCAGCCGATTAACCTGTTGGTCTTCATTTGCAGACTTGCACGCTACATCACAAGCCCAACGCTGGTCGTAACTCTTCCTCCTCCTCTTTGTTCTTCTTCTTCTTCTTTGTCATCGCCTTTCATCGCCAATATACATTTTTAGGATAAATAAATTTCGAACTGAAAATCGTCAACACTGAATAATCCTAGTTTACGTCCCTTATTTTCTCCAAGTTACTCAAGGTGCTTTGAATGGAGAACGACAACTAGTACGTCCAACCCAACAAATTTTGCCAATTTTTAATAATCCGATACTTTGATACACGTTTTAGGATAAATAAATTCTGCCAGTTTTTTCTTTCATGAACTAATGTGCTAGATTACGTTAACGTTTTAGTTGTTATCTTTAAGAACAATGCTATTTAAAGTTGTCAAAAAGTTTTCAATTAAATTCTTTAAAAAAAAAAATTCAATTGAACTTCAACAAGTATTAAAATTCAATTTCATGATGAAAACATGGCACAAGAATAATCCACGGACCCCACATCGATAGTCATAGTGGTCAACGGAGGAACCATCGAATTGCAGAAAATAATATTTGAGGTTTTTAAGAAGTTTTCTATTAAACAAAGGAAAGGTCCAGAAGAAAATATCTAAAGATTGAAAGAACTTTAGCATCTCTGTAAAATGCAAAATACAATCTCATGAATAAAAACACGACACAAAAGGGCTTTGTTGAAATTAGCCAACCGTAGTTTTGGATTCAATCAGCGTAAATAATTTTATTTATTGGTAAATACTCTGCATAAATAATTTATTCACGTCGCATAAATAAATCTTTATCAATAAACACGTTATTGATTTCAATTGTTTAAAAAATATGCCATTTACTTAAAAAAAAAAAAAAAGTTTGTAAAAATGTGTTAGTCTCTTCATTTCTCATGAAATCAGGTGTTCCACCTCATGACATTTGTAGCTCAAAATCCATGTTGCTAGGCTCAAAGTCCAGCAATTTTAACTCCCAAACCAAATCCACATGAGCCCATGAGAATAGAAACAAAGAAGTCCATGTTACACTACAAAAGTGAAACTATATTCACTGTTCCCGCCACAAAAAACATGTGACGATAGACTTCTACACATGACTAAGAATAAGATTTGAATTAAAAGGACTAAAATATTCATAAATTAGGGTTTTGTTTTCCTCTTCTCATCTTTCTTTTCTCTCTCTCTTGCGTCTCTTTCTTCTCCACGCATTAATCAGCCGCTGCCACCACCAAGCTTTCATGCCGGAGCTCAACACTGACCCTCACCCTTGCCTCTAACAAGTCTAGCATTCGTGAACGATGGAGATTTAACAAACCATTGTCGATTTAACAAACCAAATCTACAACGATGAACAATGGCTTGTTGGAATATTTTATGTGGACTTCCATAATCATAATAACTCACTTTGTAATTAATTAAAACATATTATGGACAACTGTGTTAATGTGAATTAATAAATGCATATATGTTAAATATTAATCCATAATGGGATGAAAACTTATTTTAATGACTCGCTGAGGCATATGAACTCACTCTCTCTAAATATTTAGTCAGCTCATTGTGTCAAATTTCTTTCTATCAATCCCAACAAGGCCCAATTGCCTAAGGTTGCAGCACAAAACCAAATTCCAAATATGAGTTATACCTAAATTCCCGGCAACCATGAACAACGTGCTTCCGCTGCCCACCGGAATATGAGTTATACTTAAATTCCAAATAAGAATTTTGTGGCATTTTCATATTTTAGGCTAGATTATATATTTTAATCTTGTTTAGGTCATGTTTAGATCATTTTAAAATCTAGCATGGCTATCCTCGTGAAAGCAAATTATCAAACCGCTTGGCTCAATCGAATCTAAAGCCGGCAACATGGACGTAGCCAAGTTATCACCAAGGGGGCTCAGGCTCCCCCTCAACTTTTTTGTTCCTTTTCTTATCCCTATATACGTAAGAATATCTTTAAAAAATTGAATAAAACCCCCTCTGAAAAATTAAAACTACAATTTTATACCATTTTAATTCTTACTATGATTATTGTTAGTCCCTCTCACAAAATTTTTTGCCTTTATCACTGGCCGACAAGCTCTTCTTTGTCGTTGCTGATGATGAGATCTCGCCTTCTTCTTGCGATGATGAGATCAAGTCGGCATGATCTCGCCGGATAACCTGTGCCGGAGATTGACTTTCTTTTTTCTCAATTTCTCTATGTTTTGCTTATGCTAGTAGTAGATTTTGTTGCGTGTATTTGTATTGTATTTTTTATTATATCTTTCGAGTATTTTGGCAACGATGTGATGCCACCGTTCATGGCTGTTACTATGTCAGGACTGTCGCTTTGATCTGCGTGACATTGGCGCTAACGTTAGAGATCCGCAGGGAGATCTCCTTGCTTCTTCTTTTTTTAAATCATATTGTTTGTGTCTTTTTGTATTTATGTAATTTTTCCTGCAACAAGAATGGTCGTTGTGCCTCTAGTATTGGTGGTTATCAGCCAGTATTATAATAGGATATCAGCCGGTGTCATGGCCAGATATTGATATCAAGATAGATATTGATGGTTAATGGTCGGTAGTCAACTGATATCATAGTAGATACTTCCGGTTACCGGCCTTTATCACAATGGTTGCCGGTGTATCATGGTGGATCCCAATTAGTATAATAAGTGTGTATTTAGTATTTTAAAATATAATGTGATGACGTAGCATGATAATCTTTGCAATTATTATTATTATTATCATCATCATTATTATTATTATTATTATCAATATTATCATTATTATTATTAATTTATTATCATTATTATTATTAATTTATTATTATTATTATTATTATTATTATTATTATTATTATCATTATCATTATTATTATTATTATTATTATTTTTAATTATAAGTCAAGCCAAGCCTTAAAATTGTGGCAGCTCAGCTGTCTTTATAGCCCGTGGAGTGGGCCTCTTTGAAAATGGTAATGAGGTAATCAAATTTATGACTAAATCAATTAACCAATTGACACAATCTCTAACTAGTATTTTTTTTTTTTTTTTTCATCTTGAAAGAATTCAACGTACAAGATCACATATAATCAATCCAAAGCTGAAGCAAACTTTGCATAAAAGGCACAATCTTCAATGTAAATATCATATTTAAAACAATATTTAGTGGACGTTCAAAACTATTCTCGATTTACGTGTATTTTTTTGAGAGAAAATGTTATAGCGAACCACAAATTATGATTCAAATCATGACACGAATACACCAACTAAATGCACCCTTAGAGTGCGTTTGGTTTAAGGATTCGTGTCATAGTTCGAATTATGGTTCGTGACTCGTTACAGTATTTTTTTCTCATAGAAAACACACGTAAATCTTCTCATACAAAACACACGTAAATCGAGAATAATTCTGAATCATAATTCTGAATCCATCAACCAAACGTCCTCTATGTCATATCTCTCTCTTTTTAAAAAAAATATAAAGTGTATCATACTTGATTCAATGCTAAAGAACATTAGCAGATTTCTTTAATAGATTTTGTTAACTGAATATTCATATAGTTTGTTCTTATAACTTGTATTCGCAGAGTTTTTAAGTATTATTATTATTATTTTTTTTTTTTTGCAATATGAAATCGAATCTGTATCACCCACCTTACTCATGCTGTTAAACATAGTGAACATTGGTGAACCCTCAGAGTCTCTAATTAGGGATTATATTGATAAAATTTTTGTGGTTTATGTATCATAATCTGCACATCCTTGGAAACCCATTAGGAATGTGTACATTGTCCAATTTGTAATTAAACCAAGAAACAAGGACCAATAATAACAG